TGCAGAGGCAGGTGCTCCTCCCAGCCACGGTCAGAGCAGCAAGGGACACGACGTGAGCCCAGCGCCACAGCCACAGGACCTAAGCAGCTGACAGGCCGAGGCGGCAAGTGGACCGTCTCTGCGGAGAGGGCTGGCTGGCTTCCCAGGACCTGGGGGACTTCAGAGGAGGGTGGAACGTTTTGTACCAGCACTGACCCCCTCCTTCAGCCAGCCATGAGATCACACCGGAGGCAGGTTTGCAGTTTGGGAAGGTACTTCCTTCCCGGTGTCAGTTTGTAGCTGATTATGTGTGTGTGTGTGTGTGTGTGTGTGTGTGTGTGCGCGCGCGCGTGCACGCGCACGTCGGGGGTGTTGGAGGAATGAGAGCAGAGTTGAGCATGACAACAACAGGGTCAGACTCTTAGTCAGGTGTGGGCTAGCCCAGGGACCATGGCTGCCAACATCCTCACACTCGAGGGTTCAGCACTCCCAGGAGGGGTGGGCGTTTTTAATGAGACTCTCTACCAGCAGGAGTGTGTGTGTGAGCACACTCATGTGAATTTTGAAGGAATTCCAATGAACTTGCTTCCAATGCTCTGAGAACGCAGATTTATGGTCTCAATATAGAGAAGCATTGTGCACTTCTTGATTGCATAGGTCATAGAATTGCAACATGTAGATCTTTTATTTTCTTTTTGTAACATAGCATCTAACTGCTATTTCTTTTACCCTACACTCAAGCAACAATTTCCTAAAAATGCATCCCTGAATTGCTTGACGATTAAGCCGCATATTGAAATGGTGAATAGTTAGAACCCCACCCCAAGGCACACTCTGTGCCCAGGGAGAAGATGTGGAGAAGCAGTGGGTCATCTTGGCGCCTTGGCAGAGCATCAGGATGAATTCAGAGCCTGCGTGCTGTCACACCACCTGCCCGTGTTTGCTCTGAGATCCAGCGCCCACCCCGCCTCCTGTAAAGTGGGTGATGTACCTCACCCTCATCGTCCCCTCCTTGCTTCATTGATGAGCTCGTACGCACCTGCTGAAGATTCAGGCCCAGGTGACTTCACATATTGCTCTCTTTAGCCTCCCAAATGTCTGTATTTTCTTTTTTTTTTTTTTTATAATTTTATTTAGTTATTTTTCCCCCAAAGCCCCAGCAGATAGTTGTATGTCATAGCTGCACATCCTTCTAGTTGCTGTATGTGGGACGCGGCCTCAGCATGGCCGGAGACGTGGTGCGTCGGTGCGTGTCTGGGATCCGAACCCGGGCCGCCAGCAGTGGAGCGCGCGCACTTAACCGCTAAGCCACGGGGCCGGCCCTGTATTTTCTAATTAATCTTCAAGCCCCTCAGGACCACTGGCCACAGCCCGCTCCATGCCCTCCCCCCAGTCAGGGTAAACACTAGGTGCACACTGACCGCTGGATATGATCGGGGGACGAAAGCCCTCCTCCTGGCTGGGAGCTGTGCTGACCTGGAGCTGGCACATGGCGGGATGCACAGCCTGGGTCACTGGTACCAATGGAGAAGGAAGTCTCCTCTTGATGATGATAACTTCAAAGGTGCCTGCCGTCCACTCAGGACTGAAACCTGGTGCTGGGATTGGTGCTGAGATCAGAGCCGTTCTGGCCGAGACATACCAAACCAGCACACCTGTCCTGTGGAGGACAGACTCTTCAGGAGGCCTTGGCATGGAGGCCTGTGTTCTCCCGCACTGCTCGTTCTCCTCACTGCACGTCGTGATTTCCTTGCACACTTCCGTTTCATGAGTGGTCTTCAGCCCTGTCCTCCAGTTATCTCTTCGAGCTCTCAGCCATTCCCAATCGCCCATTTCACCCAGACGTGGAGTTTTTAACGGCAGCTTGTATCACGTGACTATTTCCTAATTTCTAAATAGTTGTTCCCTTTGGGTGTCATTTCTAGAAGTTTTGTTGGGCTTTTTCAAATCCACTTGTTCTGTTTTTCGTTCTTTTTTCTTCTTACATGTCATTTAAAATGTCTGAACCTCGTTTACTGCCTTTTCATGTTGCTGTATTGTCTGCACCTTCACGCGTCAGAAAACTCTCCTCCAGTGTGGTCCATTTCTTATTAAGAGCGAATCCTCACAGGGCATCTTTGCTGGAGGCTGTGGACGGTCCACTCTGGGTGGCTTTGCCTTCACTGATGTTGGGGCCCTGAGGGTGCCACTGGGCTCAGATCGAATTTTCACCCTACTTTTTCAGTGTGGTCTTCCTGTGCCATGAGGGCAGGGTGAACTACACGCCCCCTCCTGGAGCACTTCTTGTTCCAGACAGCTGGGTTGGGGGGGGGTGGTCCTCCAGGATCCTCCCATCCTTGTCTGGCTCTGAGGTGGGGGCGTGCTGCAGCCGGTTCCTACCAACTTGCAGGAGCAGATTGTTAAATTTTTAGGAAGTTTACGAGCTTGTTGTTAAATATAGCCACTATTAAAAATTAAATTATATTAACTGACAAATTATATTAATACAGGTAATAAATACTCAGAACAAATCACTTCCTAATTATCTTGACTACAGTTTACTCTCATCCCTAGTAACCATTTCCGTCTCCTGTGCCCGCACGGTGGAAATGCTCCACCACGGTGGGCCCTTGCACACCCCTTCCCACGCTGCAATCATTCATAGTCAGTGTATTTACATCACAGAAATCAGCAAATAGGACAGATCAGGGCTTCATTTTTTGTTTTGTTGACTGTCTAGACTTCCGTAAGTGATGGAGAAGACGTTAACAATGCGGATTACACTGGAAAGTGTGTGGTCTTTACAGGCTTTACATCATGAACAGCACAGAGAAGGTGAGGACGCTCCTCCAGTATTCAGAAACTGTGATCCAACTCGGCACAGAAGTTGCTTACGTCGCTGATGGGCGAGGGCAGTTCCCACCAATGTCATCATCGTCTCCTCTTACCTATTAAGGTAAGTGACACACCAACCGATATTCATATTGGAGCTACAGTCATTCCCCAAATGCCATCACAGGTTGGCGACAGACACAAGAGTTCCACAGAAACCAAACTGAGCATTCTGGGAGAATCAGCTGGCTACGTGGCCTTGACAATGGAGGACTGTATGTGTTATTATTACATGCTGGTTGTGTGCAGATCTCACAATAAACTAAGTGCATCCCTGTGTGTCTGTTTTTTCAGAGAGCTGGTTGTTACCCTTTTCCCAGCACACCACTGCCCCGGGGCCGTCTATGCTAGCTTGGAGTGGACATGCTTGCAACCTGGTCCCCAGCCCTGGTGGGGTTCAGAGTCACCACTCTGCCCACACTTACCTCAGCTCCCCCTTTATTCTGTCTTTCTTCAGGGGTTGGCCATGTACTACGTTTTTAAAGTACATTTGTCCAGCTTTCCTAAATATTCACGGCGGGAGGGGAAACTTCACTCGGCATCTCAGTCCGCCATACGCAAATTCTGACACGTGTTTATCATGAGAAGCTTTACCCATTGTTACACGTGCAGCTTCAGTAACTTTTTACAACATACGAAAGGCAGACATTTCGTGGATGCTTGAGGGGTGTTCCAACAGGAGGCAAATCGGGAAGGGAGAGTCAGGGAAGGCTGAGCTAACAGGATGTAACTGGACGTCCACCAGCTGAGACCGAGGGGCTGATTTCTTAGGAAACACCAACATTTTGATGGACATCAAGCACCTAAGTCGGTGCTGTTCTGGAATTATCTAATTTTGTGATAAGCCGACTCCACGGACCTTCCTCTTGCCATCGCCAGCTGAAATGGACTGGTCGGGGATGAGAGGAGAGCACATCACAGCCAAGAGTGCCACTCCCTCTGTCTGGGGTTGGAATCCCCGCGGCCATTTCTCCATGAGGGGGTGGAGCGCCCTCCTCTACGCTGGAGGTTGGGGAAGGAAGAGGTCAGGCATGCAGGGTCCCCAGGTCTCCAACCCAGCAGACACATGCACGAGAAGAAGGTTCAGGCGATACTTACAGCCTAGACAATCCTGCAGCTCTTCCCCGAGATGTTTAATCTCTTTTTAGCAAATAAAATCTCAGTGACCTCTGGCCCTTAGTACACATCCGACTCCGCAGATAAAATAGCAGCGCAATTCGAGTTCTGAGAAATGCTCACGCTTTGTTTTAGCAATCTAAATGCCCACACCTTCAGGAAACACAAGGACAGGTAGGAAAAAATCGCTCTTGGATCCCCAAATGAAGACCATTCAAATGTGAAATCAAAAGTTTAATCTGACACAATGAAATCTATTTATCTAGCTCACACTGGAGGATTCCTCTTGAAACATAGGAGGTGAGAAATCACAAGCAGGTATATGCTCCCTGTGTGCAGATAAATTATCCTCTATTAATTATGCAGATTCCAGATAGAGAGAAACAACTTCGGGAAGGAAATCGTAGCTACATTAGAACAGGTACAAATGACAAGACCACTGAAAGAGACATTTTCGGACCTGTCTCCCCATTCAGCAGGCCACCCTCCCTATTCTACTGGTTTTTGAGATGTCATATGGATTCAGGACGGAGTGGATGGTGTGCGATACAGCAGGACCCAGAAGGCGCTGGAGATGTCTTCACCCCTAACCCTGCAGCACACGAGCTGCCTGCACCTTCTTAGTCATAATCGCTCTGAGTTTAACGAAATGCTTCTTCTGTTTCTGGGGGCAGTGGTAAGTCTGATGCTCAAGTTTTATTTTGGCAAATCCACATCAAGTCTGGACGCTGTGTCTCCGTGCTGCCGGACACGCAGCCGGCCTGAATGACCAGGAGTCTGGAGCCGGGAGGAGGCCCAGTGCCAACACAGCATTTCCCGCCTTTTTCCCGTTGCTACGACCTCACGCAGATAAAGCACAAACTGTGGCTCTCCCCGCGTGTCCCCTTCTAGGAATGGAGTGAGGCATCCATGGTCCTCTGGATGCCAGCAGGGCCCAGGACAGTCCCTGAGGGACACAGGTACCTCACGGAGCTTGTGACTGTGCCCAGATTTATTCCCCTGATTGTGGTTATCCTGCAGGAGAGCGTTCATTAGCTGCTCCTGTTTCTGCAGGATGTAAGCAATTTTAAAGTGAAAAACCTGTTGCATGATTGCTGCTCACCCACAACCTTGCCCAGGTTAAGGGTCACCTGAGGTGGCTGGCCTCGGAAGCAGGTGCTCCCAGGATGGGAAAGCGTTTTCCCCTGGGGAGGCTCTTGCCCATCCTTGGGGGATGGAAGGTTGAGGTGGGCTGTCGACGGTGCTCGGGGGAGGGTGACGAGCAGCCCAGATAGGAACAGAATGGAGATGCTGCAACCATTTTCTTATTATTTGCTCCAAAGCTGCAGAATGTTAACAGTCTGCTGATCTAACTCCTGAATAAGCCAGTGGTTCCTCCCAGTGATAAACGCTCCTAAAGACAAATGCCAAATGTGTTCTCTACACCCGGAAGCCTGTATTTAGCGCCTCTCCAGCTTCCCTGGGTCCCCTCCCCGCACAGCTGATCCATCCTTCAGGAAGTTACAGATTACAAACCAGCTCTCCTTGGCGACCATACTGCACACATGGATTACCGCATCATTAATACGACATTGTTTGCAATTAAGAATGTGAATGTGTGCTTTAAGGAAAATTAATTTTTTTTTCAAGAAAGTGAAAATAGACGAACTGGTTGCCCCCTGTAATTGGATGTTTCCATAAATCTCTCTTTATTATTATTTGGTTGAACAAAAATACATTTTAACTGCTAAACTGTACTGACTACTGGATTTTAAGGGCCCTATTACTGGGTGGTTACACTACAAGACACACAATTAGGTCATATCATGATTCCCAACAACATTCACGGGGTGAGGGGTTGCTCCGCGGCCTCAGGAGCGTGCGGTTCACTGGGGGAGTGCCTTGAGGATGGCGTTCACCTCCTCGGCCACCGCCGTCAGCGCGAACTCGAACTGCTCCTGGGGAGACAAGAAAGGGGAGAAAGTGTGAGTGGGAGCTGTGTCTTTTCCACTCCAGCCGTGAGCTCTGGGGTGTTATTTTGCAGAAAGAAATTGTTTAGGAAAAAAAAAAGAAAAGTCACAGATTTCCATGGGAAGGAGAGAACATGCTAAGACCCAAGGCTGGCGCTCGCCGGAACGTCTCGTATTGGAGTCTCATCTTTTATCACTGGGAGAAGCTGCCAACAGCAGCAGGGAGCAGGAAACCGGCCGGGTGAGGCTCCACGCGCCCCACCCGTTCCTTCTGATTCCAGCACTGAATGCTTGAACCCCTCGGTGGACGGTGAGCAGTCGGGCAGGCTTCTGCCCATCTCAGCTCTAGCCGCCACTCTGGCCGAGTGCAGATTCGCCATGAAAACAGTTACCATGAAAAACCCACTCAGGGTCTTCCTCCCCCCGAAGTGTGGAAGAGGAGTGTCCTCACTGCTGTGAAATCAACCCACCATCCAGCCCAGCCCAGCCCTGTTCCACTTGTCAGGACACCTCATCTCATCCACGAGTCTGCACGCACACACACGCTCACAGACACAGGAAGGGACACGCCACCCTCACATGTAAAACCCGCCAAGACCATTAGGTAGAAATGAGGCGTATTCAGGACTACTCGCTCCCCTAACAGCCTAGGCCTTAGCAGACAAAGAACAAAACCCATCTCTTCCCTCACTCCTCAGTATCTACGTAACTGCCTCGAAATGATGCATTAAAAAACCCTCAAGTTGGCCAACAGGCACCTTCCAATGATACCAGGGAAGCCACGGAATATAATAAATTATGCAAACAATCACCTAGTTAAGAACTTTTGATTAAGGAAAACCCTGTGGCTTAGATTCTTGATAATTTGATCAATAAATCGGGTAACTCCAAACCCACAAATGATGATCAATTTCCACTTCGAATGCCCAGGATGTAACTGAAACGTAGACAACAGCTCTAATTAGAACAGCAGGAAGTCAACAGAATGTAATGCTCACTCTGGGACAAAAGACAGTTTCTCCTGGAGGATCCCCTTGACCCGACGCTGAAGGAATGATCTGCTGTGTACAATATGGATGGAGCCCTTGCTTCTGTCAGACGCCTCCTGACAGGAATTCCAGAAGCTGTTGTTGAGGAGTTACCAGGTGGACTTAGGGTGCTTCCCACACTGCGCGCGGTCGCTGCATCAGGATAGGCGCTGCGGAGGCACGTTCAGGTGGTCCAGCACCTTCTTGTGCTGCTTTCCCTTCTGAGGGCGTCATCAGTTCCGGCTCCTCTCCCCAAAGTCACGGGGAAGCTGCCTCTGGGGGGGCCGGTGCTCAGGCCCCGCCGTCACCAGGACGGCCCACAGGCGTTCCGCTGGAAAGTCACCTCCTGTCGCCGTCTCTCGGCAAACAGTCTGTTCAGTGGAACGTGTGGTGGGGGGAACCAGGTCTGTTTTGCATGGACAGCCACACCAGACTGTTTCTTCTCAAAACACTGACTTATCAACAGGTAGACCAAGCTTTGAAGATGACTTAGAAATGCAAAAAAGCGAAGGGAGACTTTGGGAATCTAATTTTATGTGTCATATGCCTGTCTACATCTTTTGACCCACTGGAACTCTATCCTAAGTAATAATCTTCAAATGAAAAGCAGACAAGCATGGAGATGTGCACTGCAGCCTCACCTGTGTGGTGAGACCCTGGAAACACACGGTACCAGAGAGAAGTGAATAATTTTATAGGAAAGTGTCTGACATTATGCTACAATGTTAAGTGACAAAACCAGAATGCAAAGTTGCACCTGTATCTTGATTATAATCATTTAGACTCTATGTCCGCAGGGCAAGCTGTGGAAAGGGGACGTGGGACACGTGACAGCTGGTGTGGTGTAAACGGTCACAGCACTGACCGTGAGGTCCAGAGGAGAGGACGTCAGGTGTGACACCAGCGGCCTCACTGCTGGGCTCTGCCCCGGGGAGGCGGCTCTGAGACATCAGCTGAAGGACAGCGGGCTTCCTGTGATGGGGGAACACTGAGAGGGATGCAGTGCCCCTCAGGGCCCGCTGCGATGAAATGGGGACTTGTCAGTCGTCTTGCTCCTTTATCTCAAAAAGCGTCGGCAGAGCGGCAGTGCCGGTGTCACCTACTCACCCATCATGGGTGGTGAACGTGTGCGGACCCACATTTTGAGTCACGCCGCCTTAGCTAATACAGCCAGATGGGAACCCCAGAAATCGGGGACAATAGCACAGAAGCTGAGAAGTACCAGCATTTGAAGTCCTTTTGTGATAGAAACTTATTTTAAGGAAACCACTAAAATAACAGGCGTTAGCTGCACTTAAGGAACAAAATACAATAGGTGACAAGTGACCCTCTGGGGCAGACTCAGTCTAGGACGAGCATCATCTGAGCAGGAAGGACTTGGAACCGCCTGGTTTACAATGTCTGAGCTGGCTGGGTTTGCAAAGTCAGGAAGGCAGAAGGAGGGCCAAGATGTTCTAAACAAGAAACTGCGCTGAAATAGAAGCTGAGACCCGCAGGAGGCGGCCCGCAGCCCCCCTAGTTTTCCTGCCCCTCAGCGTGAGGTGTGGCCATGGCAGGATGTCCGAGTGGGGCTCAGGCTGACCAAGTGTCTGGTCCCGGCCCCATGTCCACGCTGCACAGGGACGGCCCTTCCCAGGCTGGCGGTGACGAGTGAGGGACGTGTGTGAGAGCAGGTCAGAGGGTCGCATTGGAGGGCAGCGGGGCGGACCCCGTGTGCTGCTCAGACGCGAAGCCCTCCCCCTGCTTTGGTCAGTGCTGCATGGGGCCTCCCCCCAGAGCAACCCAAACGGAAGACGTGCAGAGACTGGTGGAGGAAGGTGGCCCACGGAGCCACGTGTGCACTGTGCAAATCCCACACGGGCAAACGTGACATCGTAACCTCCAGGTGGTTGAACACACTGGTCAAGCGGCTTTTATTTCTAAGCGACCAAAGTGAAAGGAGATTTCCTTGAGTAAGGGAAGGTGTTAAAGTCGTTGGTTAAAGAGGCACTGTTCACAGACATGTTGAGGGGGAGGAAGGAAGGAAGGAGTCTGTTTACAAGACGCACGTTAACGGAGGGGAGTCACTCAGCTTTGGAAGTCTGCTGTTTTTTTTTTTTCTTTGTTGTGAGGAGATCAGCCCTGAGCTAACATCTGCCAACCCTCCTCTTTTTTTGCTGAGGAAGACTGGCCCTGGGCTAACATCCTGCCCATCTTCCTCCACTTTATATGGGATGCCGCCACAGCATGGCTTGACAAGCCGTGCGTCGGTGCGCGCCCGGGACCCGAACCTGTGAACCCTGGGCCGCCACAGTGGAGCGTGTGCACTTAACCGCTTGCACCAC